GCAGAGGACTGTAAGGAAAGGGAGGGAAAACTGAATGGGAAGAAATTAGAGAGGGAGACAAACCATGAATGACTCTTAACTATGGGAAACAAACTGACGGTTGCTGGAGGGGAGGTGTGTGGGGGGATGTGGTAACTGGGTGATGGGCATTAAGGAGGACACATGATGTGATGAGCACTGGGTGTTATACACAACTGATGAATTGTTGAACACTACATCTGAAACTAATGATGTACTATGTGTTGGCTAATTGAATTAAAAAAAAAAAGAATATACTAAAACTGTAAAGCTAGATGGCAGAATGACAGTTGCCTTTGAAGGGGAGGGAGGTTAACCAGAAATGGGTATCAGGGATCTTTCTGGGGTGGTAACATGCTCTGTATCTTGATAGGGGTTTGGATGATATAGCTGTAAACATTTGCTAAACTCATTAAACTGTACACATTAAAAAAAAAGAAAACACTTCTATCTACATGAAAGAAAAAAAAAAGATAGATGCTATTTACTGAGACAAGAAACCCTGGCACAGGACAGGTTTTGGCATATAGACTTTGAGATGCCTATTCGTTAGCTAAGTGGAGTTCTCAATTAAGTGACTGGGTTTCTTGATTTTGTCACATTTTGTTAACTCTAAGATATATACTTTCATATTTTAGTGTATCTGAAATTAAGCTATGTCTTATAATCAATGGTATGCCATAGTTAAATTTCTAGTCCTTTATATTTCTTAGCGGTGTGTAAATTGATGGGGCCCTCAACATCTGTAATGTGTTAGATCCAACAAAATATTGTTAATGATAATAATAATAACAAAGAAGACCACCATAACACCAATTAGTAGCCCACAAATGACCAATTAACCAAAACTTCTGATCAGCATCCAGTAGGAACCACTGACCTTTAGAGCATCCAAAACAGTGTAGGAGTGACCAGAAAAGGCAATGGCTTCCTTTCTTCCACCCACCCACAAGCAAGCAAGATGGAGGAAGAGACAGGAAACTGCTGTCATTATCTTAATAGGATAGAGGCTATACCAGCATCTGTTAAATGGAGGTCATCATAATGATAGTAATAACTAATGCTTAAATAATGCTGGCTATAGGCTAGGTGTTCCTCTAAAGACTAGATATTCTTCTAAAGACTTTACTTACATTAACCCATGTAGTCCTCATAACAACACTATAGTGTAGACAGATTTACTATGATACTGAGCTGGAAAGAGGTTAGCTAACTTGCTTCAGGTCACACAGCTCATAAATGGCAGATCCAGATTCACACCCAAGCAGTTCAGCTGCAGAGCCTCTGCTGTCAACAACTGCTATCTCTACCGAAGATAATTAACTACTTGGTGACCTGGGAGCAATAGAGTTATGGAAATTTTGTGTGGGCTTTTGCCACAGAAACAGACCTAGGACATATACATGGAAGATCTTCAGATTTTTACTACATATACAGCTTGGGGAGGAAGGGGTAAGGAAGGACTGTTATTCTGAGTTTTGAGAACAGTATCACTACATCTGAATCCAATGTGTTAATACTGGCTTAGCAGTGCAGTAAAGGAAGATGCTCCATAAATAACAAAAATTATCAATATCAGCAACAAAAGTTAAATTCCTACTTTTAATCTTGGGATGTCATATGTAATAAAATAAAAAGAGAACACGTTTTATAAGCTATATGCTTTCTAAAATTAGAAGTGTTTATCTCTAATCAACTTTGATATTATGAAGGAAGGTACAATCATTCAAAAATCATAATGCCTTGTTTATATAAGCTCCAAGCCTCCATTTGTGTTACCTGATGGCAAATGGTGACACTAGCAGAACTCTGAGCTAGAAACCTTAAATGTGGGTCTGCTGTTAGAGTTCGCACTGTCTTATTATCCTAGCAAGTGCAACATTCCACTGACTTCATGTGTTTCTGCTTAGTCTTCAATCAGAATATGCTGGTAAGAAAAAGTGGCGGTTATACATTTTACCGCTGTTGAGATTTTAGTTTAAGGCATTTACTTTGCCTGAAATTGGAAACATTTGTTTTTAGGATAATACAGTACTTTATTGAAACTAATAAGCATAATCCTATCAAATAATGTTACTAAACATCCTTTTTTAAATTAAAGGAGTTAGAAAGATATAAATGTTGGGGAGGGGAGAAACCTTAAGTGCAATTCTATCTTTTCACACTAAATAGCTGCGGTTATTGCTAGTTTTTCCTACTTTAATTTTCTTTATGGTTTCAAAGAGAGACTCTGATCTATTTTGTTTCCTTATCTTGTCTATCATGGAAAACTTCAGCATTGTATTTTATTTAGCTGTGTGATTTCTCATGATGCAGTGCTTCATCCCTAGCCTCCCTTACCACTCGGAAGGTAACCCCCTGCCTGAGGAGCTCCCCTCTCAACTTCTTGAAGAAGTATGATTGAGTGAAAAACTAAGGCAGGTTCACGCTTCAGCACTGCTTTATAATAGTTCCAGCTTCCTCTCTGCTCTTGACAGATGATGTTGGCAGATGTTGACATAGATATCGCCTATATAATTCTAAATCTAAATGTAATCTTTTTTTAAAAAAAAATCTATACATAATCTGTTCACATATGTGAGCATATGTGAGGAAGAGTTTTTGTTTATTTTGTTTGTTTGTTAGTTACAAGGGAACAATTTTGAACTTTCCCTTTTAAAAGGAGGCAGAAAAGTCCCTAATATATGTGTATAATTGAAAGATGCAATAACATATTTTTTTCTGACTCTCTCATCATTTCTATTATTGAAATAATACTAGATGAAAATTGATAACACATTAATCTAGTACATATAGACATGGTACCATATAAATGCTTTATATATCTTATATCACTTAAATGTTAGGATTATCCTAACAACAATTTTATGAGAACAATATTATCACCTGAAGGTAAACTGATTTGTGTAATATTTCACAGCCTGTTAATGATGATTTGAACATTAGGGCTCAGGTCTGTCTATATCAAGTGGGGTCCAATTAGGAAATAGAAACTACACAGTAATTTGAGCAGGAAGAATTTAATGTAAAGAATTATTAATTATGATCTGCTACTAAGGGGTAAAAATAACTCTAAAGAATTGGGAAGAGCACATGTAGGGAGTGGCTGGTACTCCTAGGTTTGAGGCAGGGCACCTAAGGAAAGAACAAAAAAATTTTTTTAAAGATTTCTATTTATTCATTTGTCAGAGAGGGGAAAAGCACAAGGAGGGGGGGTGGCAGGCAGAGCAGGCAGAGGCAGAAGCAGACTCCGTGCTGAGCAAGAAGCCCGATGTGGGACTCGATCCCAGGACCCTGGGATCATGACCTGAGCTGAGGGCAGGCACTTAACCAACTGAGCCACCCAGGCATCCCAGAAAGAACAAATTTTAAAGGAGACCTTCTACCTTCACCCTACCCCCACCACCGTGGAGCCACATCTTGGAGAGGGCAGAGCTGTGGCCCAGCAAATGGCAGAAAAGTTCACTGAGGTAGCAGGCTAGGGGAACTCATAGGAAAGCCACTTTCTGGGGTTCTTGGGGAACTGTCCATAGGGAGGTGTCACACTGTGGAAGGTGCTGCACTATGAACTTGGTAAGAAGCTCCCAGTGTGTGTGCATGTAGTGGGGGGTGGTTCCAGGGGACACCCCCAGAAAGTGCCCTACACTTCTGGCTACTGTGCACTGTAAGAGCCAACAGAAAGAAGTACCCAGAACCAGGAAGAGCCCCTTAACCATCTAGTTCCCTTCTTGGCTCTCTGTGGAAGATGCTTAAAATTGTGCCTTATGGCAAAGAAGTGTTCTAGTCTCACAAGCAGGACAGTGACAGGTGGATTAGGAATGAGGTAATAGATTGATACCTGGCACACAGCCCACCAACAAATCTACTTTCTTAATCAGTTAAGCATTATGTCATATACTGGGGCGCCTGGGTGGCTCAGTTGGTTAAGCATTATGTCATATACTTACTATACCACAAAATATGCTATTTAACAAAAAAAAGGAATATAAGAAGAAAGAAAGGAAACTAGGAAGGAAAGAAAAAATGCAACAGGGTTATAAATGAAGATTTACATCAGTATTTCTTTTTTCTTTGAAATGTTTCTAGGTAGAGTCACTTTGAATTCATTCCTCAGGAGACTGTCTTATTGAATCTTAGGCACTGGCTTATCAACTGAAAACTGAAGTTGCAAAGTGGAGGCCCGGGGTCCATAACCAAAGATTTTTCACTCTACAGTTCAAATTAATTTTGAATTCTTGTTTCCTCATCTACTAGTTAATGCAGGTTATGTTTGGTTGATAATCATTTGTTTGCAAATCAGAGCTTCCTTAGATAATCCAAAGCCTAATTGCATCATTTATAGACTGCAAGATTTAGGCAAGTTATTTAATTTCTCTGGGCCTCAAATTCTTCATGTAAAATGGAAATAATAATAGGATATGCCTTATAGATGTTTTATGAAAACTAACTGTATTAATGTTTAAAAGCATTTGGAACAATTCCTTGCATATAGTAAGTGGTATATAAGTATTTGTATATGTATCATTATATTTTCCTATAGACCATAGCTTAGAAATATTAATTCAGTCATTCCACTTTGGGGAACTCTATGTTTAGTCCACACTTTTGTCAGATTAATTTGATTTCATTGTTTACTGGCAATTAAAAATATATATGGTTATGTTATGTATAATATGAATGCTGTTCATTGGTTACCTTACTTTTTACTATACCTATTAACAATACTGCTTTAAACTTACAGTGTTTGAAGACGATATTTGTAAATCCCTTACTCCTTAATTTTTGCTGGGAATTATCTGAACAGTAAGATTGTTGGTGAAGTACCTTTGGCTAAAGAAAACCCACGTTGTCAACATAGCCATTAGCATTCAAATTATTAAATAGTTTTTAATGTTGCATCACTTACAAGAAACACATTAGACAAAAATGTCTAAAATTTAAAAATTTTTTAATATTCTCTCTCTCTTTTTTTTTTTTTACAGAAGACCATGAGAAATATTCTGAACTCATCAAGAAGTTCAATGCGATTGAAATGCTATTTACACTCTATCCTCCTCAAGGTGCCCATGTGCGTAATAATATACGGCTTAGGTCAACTTGGCTGAGACCAGTAGTAAATGGTGAAGAAGGTTATAGATATATAGGTAAGATGCTGAATCTTATTATTTCTTTTTATAATATAGAAGAAATGACTCTTTTTAGAACTCTTATTTGTCACTTAGATGATGTAGGGTAATACATAGACCCTATAGAGTACTCATTTCAGTTCTTAAGTATTATGCCTGCAATTTAAAAAGTGGCTATTTTAGCACGGAGGACCATAGTGGAAGGGAGGGAAAATTGAATGGGAAGAAATCAGAGAGGGACACAAACCATGAGAGACATTGGACTGCAGGAACCAAATTGAGGGTTACAGAACGGGGATGGGTGGGGGGAATGGGGTACCTGGGTGAGGGGTATTAAGGAGGACACGTGTGGCGATGAGCTCTGGGTGTTATATGCAACCAATGAATCGATGAACACTACATCAAAAACTAATGATGTACTATATGCTGGCTAATTGAACATAAAAATAAAAAAAATAATAAATAAAAAATGCCTGTTTTACACTTTGGTGCCTCCTCGAGAATAGTGGAAACACACTGTGTTTTTTCATTCACCGGATTAGATAGACACTTGTGTTACTTTTAAAAACGTGATGCTATAAGGAGAGTTACTATGAACATTCCTGCACAGGACTGTGTCTAGACAAATGCTTGCATTTCTCTTAACTAAACTGTTTTCCAAAGTCGTTCTATCATTTCATATTCCCCGTCAGCAGAGATCTGAGAGCCGCATTCGTGCTACAGCTACATCAGTACTTGGCGTAATCAGTTTTTCTAATTTTAACCTTTCTAATAGATATGTATTGGCATTCCATTGTGGTTTTCATTCACATTTTTCTAGTAGTTAATGATATTCAGCGTGTTTTCATGTATTTGTCATTGTATGTCATCACTGGTGAAGTGTCTTTTCAAATCTTTTGACCATTTTTTAATATATACTTTTTGTCAGTGTTGAAAGTCCTTTAGATATTCTGAATATAAATCCTTTAACATATATTCTCTGAAAATATTTTCTCCTAGTCTCTGTCTTGTGTTTTCTATCTTTTAATAATACCTTTTGAAGAGAAGTTTTTAATTTTGATGAAGTCCAATTTACCCCTGTATTCTTTATGCTTTTACTGTGATAGCCAAGATATATCAGTCAGACTTCTAGTCACAAAGTTTTCTTCTAGAAATTTTATACTTTTGGGTTTTATATTTTAGTGTATAATCTATCCTGAGTTATTCTCTTTTTGTACTTGGCTCAAGGTATAGGTTGAAGTTGTTTTGTTTTGTTTTGTTTTTAATTTAACATGTTGATATCCAAATGTGCTAGTGCTATTTGTTGAAAAGACTACCCTTCTATGAATTAACTTTGTATTTTGGCAAAAACAAATAGACTAAAAAGATATATAGATGCAAATAAGCACATGAAAAAATGACCAATATCAGTAGTCATTAGGGAAATACAAATTAAAGCCACAATGGGAGTACTCACCTATTGGAAAGACTAAAATAAAATTTGAAAATATAACAATGCCAAGTCTGGCAAGGATATAGAGCAACTAAAGCACTCATTCACTGCTGGTGGAAATGCAAAATGATTCAATCAATTCCTAAATATTTTGGTTGTTTCTTATAAAGTTAAGTTACTCTAACCATAAACCCAGCCATCTTACTCCTGGGTAATTGCCCAAGGGAAATGAAAGTGTCTGTTTACCAAAAACTTAAATATAAGTTTATATAGTTGCTTTAGTCCTAATTGCCAAAAGCTGGAAACAACATAAATGTTCTTCAACTGGTGAGTAGATAAACAAAATTTATTACCTCTACACAATGAATTATTTTCAGCTATAAAAGGGAATGAACTACTGATATACACAACAACATAAATTTCAGATGCATCATGTTAAGTGAAAGAAGCCAAATTCATAGGCTATATATAGATTCTATTTAAATGATACTTTGGAAAAAGCAAACTATAAGGACAGAGATCAGTCCAGTGTTTTGCAGGGCTTACAGCTGGTAGGGGGGTTAGATTACGAAGAGGCAGCATGAGGGAGCTCCTAGGGTGATGGAATTATTCTGTCTCTTGATCATAATAGTGGTTATATGGCTCTAAAAATTAGTCACAATGAACTATATACCAAAAGAGTGAATTTTACTATAAATAAAATTTTAGAAATAAACACAAAATAAAAGAATTTATATGAATGACAAACAAGTCCAAAAAAGATGTGCATCATTATTACTCATTAGGGGAATGTAAATTAAAACACAATGGAATATAACTACTTACTATAATGGCTAAAATTAAAAATTGAACATACCAAGTGTTGGCAGGGATGGGTAGCAACTTTACCACTAATATTCTGCCATTGCAAATGTAAAATGGTAAAAACGCTTTGCAAAATAGTTTGATGTTTTCTTAAAAAGTTAAACATTTATCTATTTTATGACCCCACCATACCACTCCTAGATATTTACCCAAGACAAAAGAATGTATATTTACATATAAAGACTTGTACATGAATGTTCATAGATCTCTTTTTTTATAAAAGACTCAAACTAGAAACAAGTCAAATGCCTATCTACAGGAGAAAGGATAAACAAATTGTGATATATCCATCAGAATACTTCTAACTCAGCAATATAAAAGAACTATTGACAGTATTGATACAGGTAACATGGCTGAATTTCAAAAGAATCATGCTGAGTGGAAGAAACCAGACAAAAAAAGAGGACAAGAGTATGATTCCATTTATAAAAAAGTCTAGAGAATGCACACTAAACCTTATGACAGAAGCAAATCTGTGTTTACCTGGGATGGGGGTGGGGAGTGGAAGTGAAATGTGAAAATGTGATGGGTTACAAAATTTGGCGGTGATGGAAATGTTTATTATCTTCATTGTGGTGGTGGTTCCATGTACGTGTGCCTATGTCAATATTCATCAAATTGTACACTTTAAATATGTGCAGTTTTCATTTATACTTCAATAAAACTATAAAAGTAAAGTTGGAAACATAAATTTAAAGAACCAAGATACTGAAATTTGTATTTTGTTCATATTTTTGAGAAACGACTCTCTTTAAGTTTTAAAACCAGCATTTTAGAACTTATCTACGGAGAGCCACAGATTTAGTGCACTCATTGGGCTAGTGCATATAATGGTATACTTATGTGCTCTTTTCTGATAGAGAGCATAGAGGAAGAAAAGGAGAGAAAGAGAAGGAAAATTATGAAAAAGATAATTGAGGGTTTTAGGCTCTGTAAGATTAATCAAGACCCTTGTTGCAATTTATCTTCTTTTTGCTATTTTCCACCTGAACACTACCACAATGTGACCCATATAATTCTAAAAGATTTGTGTTCATTGTTTATATAGCCCATTTGTGAATACTTGGTACAAATAAAACAAACATAAAGGAAATATGCACGAGGCAGTATGTTGTAAGTTAAAGACTCCATCTTCTGAGGTTTTATGCTTATCTTTTCCCTTTTTAGTAAGTGACCAAGGTCTCATCGTTTTGAATTACAGTTGTTATTAAATTGATAGACAAAATAGTTTGCAGCATTTGCCTTGAGAAAGATTAGTCTATTACAGGAGTGCTTTGTGAAACTCAGTATCTGCTCCACTAGAAACATTTTAGGGAAGATAGCTCCAGGAATTTATTATGTGTCTCAACATTAATAATACTCCACAATGTAAGCACTCCTGTTTATTGATTTCACTCTGTAGATTTAGAGAAGTATCATCAGTAAGAACTGAGGAGTAGTTAATAGAATTACTGAGGGCTCTATAAATGGCATGGGTTGCTAACAAATTATGTAGTATTAGGACCATACATATTCTAAAATTATTCATTATATCCATGTTTTTACACCCCACAATTCCTATAACAGTGGTTTGAATGTCACTGGAATGCAACATAAGTCATGACTTCGAATTGCTTAATATATACAAAGTATTTCTTCTGAATCATAATTTTATAATTGTTAGATCAATGAAGGCAAAAAAAAAAAAAAAGGCTTTACATTTTTCTCCAGGAACATAGGTTTTGTCAAACTTATTTTCAGAAAATAAGTTTAACAAGTCTTTTAGAAGGCTTGTATCTTTTGTTACCTTTCCTTATGAGCTGTCTGTCCTTCAGTTTCCTGGTATTATGGCCTGTCACAGACACACTGAACTTGTTTTTCACCTTCATTAAGTGTTTGTGACTTTGGTGGATTCTCAACCTGGAAGCTGTAGATTATATTAAGGAACTCCTGGAATTCTAATGGGAATACCTTGAAAGGAGTAGGTTAGCCATTATCTTTCAAGAAAATCATTTAGAGAATACAAATGAATGATTAAATTACTTCCTCAAACCAATGGTGCATTCTTAACTGGAATCATATTATTATATTAATGTAAGGTTTCTAATTAGTTCAGATCCTGAATAATGAGCAAAGACCTCTAGTTTTACTACTACTTTTCCATGTATCATTTCCAGCTCTTCATATAGTAAATTTTACTTACCCTATAACATATGGTTATTTAAGTTATGTAATTAATACTGGAACTGATTTCTTGTCCTAATCACTGTTTTGTTACCCATTATAAAAGTACAAGATATCTTTTATGCTATTCAGTTTATTCCACTGCCTTCAGGCAAGACCTGATTAACCAAATGAGAATCCCATCTTTAAAGACTCTGGCAATTACATAATTGTCCTTGACAGTCAGGTCTGATTTTTGGTGATGATCTCTCTCAGAACTTTCTACTCTGCAACATTAGACTCTTTTCTTACACATGCCTCATTACAGTTGTAACTTTTTCACTATCCACAAAATTAAGGCTATGCAGAGATTAATAAGAATCTTTCTTTTTCAATAATAGGTCTTTTAAAATATTATCCTCAGAAGTCCTCTTTCTAATCCTTAATGTCTTCTGACACTTCTCTCTAAACATTTTTCAAATTTTCTTGTTTCTTTTAAGTGACAGAACTCAGAAGAAGATATGATAATCCAATATATCTAATTTATTGTGAGTATAATCCAGCTTCTACATGTTCTGCT